GTCAAGAAGACATGGGATTATCCAAGATTATTAAAATTGTCTTCATGATTGGATGGTTCATTATTATATTTAGTGCAGACTACAAAGAAGGAGGCCTGCTGGCACCAAATAGGAATTTGGGGACAAGGCCAGAAAATTTCTCCTTTAGAAATTGAAACTAAAAATCACCATAGCCAGGAGTAGAAGCCACTTGCCCCCAGACAGTGGTTTGTAAATGAGTTATTGATAAAATTGTAGTATCTCCCAAATGTGCTCAAGAGACCAGGCTGTCTCCAGAAACTTCATCATATCTTGGTGGTAAATATGGCAACTCAAGAAGACAGGTTAAGCTGGCTTTAGGGCAACATCGCCAGACATTGGGTTTCACATATCATTGATGTCTTGAAGTATGTAGGCATATCTGTCCTCGCATATCTCAACCCATATTAATTCTAGTTCAAACTATAAAAATAAATTTCAACAACTGAGATGTAAAATGTAGTTATGTTTATGTAGGAACTGTGCTCAGTTACATTCACAATTCAGAGTTGCTGCACTATGCAAAATAAAATAGATGGTTATTGTTCAAAATGTTTGCCTTATTAGTGAAAATGTGGTCAGAATGAAAATTTAGGTTATTCAAAATATATAACAAGTTCAGTCAAATATGAGTGGGATAGAACCATGAGCAAGGGGTGGCAGTTACAAGGAGGTAAATTTAGACTTGCTATCAGGAAAAACTAACAGAGCTATCCCAGAGTGGAATGGGATGTTTTGGGGGGTGGAAGATATCCTTTCCTTGAAAGTCTTCAAGCAGACACTGGATAACCACTGGTCAAGATCTATTGTAATGGGAATTCCTTTATTGTATGGGTTGAACTAAATGGTTGTTGAGGTCCCTTTCCAACTCTCAAGTTCTATGATTCTGTTGGTATATATGTGTGTATATATGTGCATATATATATATATATATATATATATATATATATATATGTATATGTATGTGTGTGTATATATATATATGTATATATATGTATATATATATATACATATATATATATACACACACATACATATACATATATATATATGTATATGTATGTGTGTGTATATATATATATGTATATATATATACATATATACACACACACACACACACACACACACACATATAAAATGACCTCTATATCAAACCAAGTATTTATGTGTTTTAAATTTCTTTTTTGAGTTTGTGAGAAAGAGTATAGCAGAGTAGATAACAAACTGGCCTTGAAGACCAGGGTTCAATTCCTACCTCTGCCACAACACTGACTGAGTGACCCTGCACAAGCTGCTCTTCCTCTCATTACTCCAAGTACTAAGACTGCAAGTTGTAGAGGGTGGTGACTTGCCTTAGTGGAGGGCATTCCCTTATCTGGGAGTTCCCTGTACCAATGAAATTACAGTGCTAGTTCTTATAGCTAGCCTTCTGAGTTTATAGTTAGAAAGTTTATATTGTTTAGTATGTAATACTATACTTTGGAGAAGGAAATGGCAAATCACTTCAATATCTTTGCCAAGAAAACCTCAAATGGGGTCACCGAGAGTTAGACACAGCTGAACAACAGCACTACATTTATTGGATACCTCATTTGTAAATAGCTGCATGAAAATCAGTGGATTTTTTGATATTTTGTTATCAATTTTACTCCTGCAGGTCACAAAAATGCATTAGGCTTATACATTTAAAAGAAAAGAAAGGGGGCAGAGCTGATATGGTGGAGTAAAAGCAGTGACTTGCTTGAGCTGTCCCCAGACGCGTCCAAATAACTGTAAAAAGTGGCTCTAAACAAATTCTAGAGCAGCAGAACCCACAAAAAGACAGAGTGAAACAAATTTCCAGCCCATGACAGCCTGGATGGTTGATTGGAAAGGTATATCACACCAGGCAGGGAGAGGAACGTAGTTCAGCCTGGATGTGCAGTCAAAGACCAGGCCTCAGAGAACCTGGAGCAGGCCTCAGAGGACTAAATCACAGGCAGCTGTGGTGGTTTCCAGACTTCTCAACCTACAAATGCCAAAGACAACTTAGAAGGTCAGTAGGAAAAGTCTGTGACCACAGTGAGAGAGAAGCTCAGGCCCAGCCCCAGTCTCAGGCACAGCCCCAGGGTGGTGGCTGCTTCCAGAACTCAGCCCACAGATGAAGGGGGAAACAAATGGCTGATCAGAGGGGGATTGCAGGGATCTCTTTGTTGGTGCAGGATTCTCTTGCTTTGCCTGTGCTTGGACCTGGATCACAGTTCTGGGTGGTGGTCCTGGGGCAAGGAGGACTGGCATGGTAGAGCTTGTAGTGGCAGTACAGAGAGAATCCTCTTCACAGTTCCAAGGCAGAAAAGAGTGCTTGTGGTCACTCATAGACCAGAGCCCAGGCCAGGAAAGGAGTAAACACTTCACCCTTGATCATACCACCTTAGAAGAACTGAAAATTGACAGATCCCTAGAAGTATCTCTGAAAACAGCTGCACAAAACCCCTGAAGCTTGGAACAGTACATTCTTCACATTGGAAGCAGACCACTACCTTAACAAAGAGTTTATAACTCAAGTAATTGGCTGGGATCATGAGCAAACAGTGCAAAAAAAGAGTCAAACCATAGAATTTCTTTGGTGACAAAGAAGATCAAAACATACAACCAGAAGAAGACAACAAAGTCAAAACTCCTACATCCAAAGCCTCCAAGAAAAATGTGAATTGGTCCCAGGACATGGAAGAGCTCAAAAAGGATCTTGAGAAGTAAGTAAGAGAAGTAGAGGAAAAACTGGGAAGAGAAATGAGAGTGATGCAAAAAAGTCATGAAAAACTAGTCAACAGCTTGCTAAAGGAGACCCAAAAAAGTACTGAAGAAAATGACAACTTAAAAAATAGCCTAATCCAAATGGCAAAAGAGGTCCAAAAAGCCATGAGGAGAAGACTGCCTTCAAAAGCAGAATTGGCCAAATGGAAAAGGAAGTCCAAAAGCTCACTGAAGAAAATACTTTCTTAAAAATTAGAAAGGAGAAAATGGAAGCTAGTGACTTTATGAGAAATCAAGACATTGTAAAACAAAACCAAAAGAATAAAAAAATAGAAAACAATGTGAAATATCTCATTGGAAAAACAACTGACCTGGAAATAGATCCAGGAGAGATAATTTAAAAATTATTGGACTATCTGAAAGCCATGATAAAAAAAAAAAGCCTAGACATCATCTTTCAAGAAATTATTAGGAAAACTGCCCTGATGTCCTAGAACCAGAGGGCAAAATAGAAATTGAGAGAATCCACCGATCCCTGGTCAAGGAGAAAATATTGCAAGCAGCCAGAAAGAAACAATTCAAGTATTGTGGAAGCACAATCAGGATAGCACAAGATTTAGCAGCTTCTACGTTAAAGGACTGGAGGGCTTGGAATATGATATTCTTGAGGTCAAAGGAGATAGGATAACAACCAAGAATCACCTACCCAGCAAAATTGAGTATAATCCGTCAGGGGAAAAATGATATTCAGTGAAATAGAAGACTTTCAAGTATTCTTGATGAAAAGACCAGAGCTCAATAGAAAAGTTGACTTTCAAATACAAGACTCAAGAGAAGCATGAAGAGGTAAACAAGAAAGAGAAATCATAAGGGACTTATTAAGGTTGAACTGATTACATTCCTGCATGGAAAGATGATATTTGTAACTCATGAGACATTTGTCAGTATTAGGGTAGTTGGTGGGGAAAAAAATTATATGTATGGATGGCTAGATAGATAGATGGAGGGCACAGGGTGAGTTGAAGAAGGGGTGATATCTGGAGAAGAAAATTAAGGGGTGAGAGAGGATTACACTGGGAGAAAGAGAAAGGGAGAGGTAGAATGGGGTAAATTATGTCACATGAAACAGACAAGAAAAGGCTTTTACAGTGGAGGGGAAATGGGGGAAGGTGAGAAGGAATGAATCTTATTCTCATGGTATTTAGCTTAAGGAGGGAATAACATACACACTCAATTGGGTATGGAAATCTATCTTACCCTGTAGGAAAATGGACATGCAACTGGGAAATAAGATATAAGATATAAGAAATAGAAGGGGAAGGGGATAAGAGAAGGGGAGTTTGATAGAAAGGAGGGCAGATTAAGGGAAGGGTATTCAGAATGCACGCCATCTTGGGGTGGGGAGAGGGACGAGATGGGGAGAAAAGTTGGAACTCAAAATCTTGTGGAAGTGAATGTTGAAAACTAAAAATAAATAAATTAATAAAATCAAAAAAAAAAAAGAAAAGAAAAAAGAGATATGACTTTGCCAAAAGTACTTCATGGTTCTGATTTTCATGAGCTAGGGAAAATACTAGTCATTCATCCTTTGCTGCATAAACTTGGCATCTCTACCTCTTGGAGAAACCTAGAGGTACCAAGACCTAGAGGGCGGAGTAGGGGATTGAGCTGGATCCAGTTTCAGTTTCCTGATTTGTAGACTAGAAAGCTATTTTTCATTTACTTAATTTATAATGATGTTGAAATGGGAAGTATTTGTAATATAACTTGAATTTCCTAGAAGACTGACTCAAGATAAGAATTATATGTATTTCAGTGAATTGTTTTATGTTCTCCTATTCCTAGAATTCAACAATGGACATTTTGAACATCCATACTAGTATACATGGCGTAAACCTAATGAAATATTGGTTTTATTAGAAAACAAAAACAAAACTTAAAATCAAAAATACCACCCACAGTTTCAAAGTACTAGCAATGTCTGAGGTATTACTGTGTTCTGAGAAATGCTATATAAGTACTTAGAGCTATGACTAATAATATGTAAGGAATTTCTGAAAAATGAGTAGAGGTTAGATATGTCAAAATAACTATTTTCTCAATAAAATCTCAAGTTGCTAGAGTAGTTCTAGTAAAAATTTAGCATTATTCCTTGAAGTGAATGTTCTCATTGGGTATTACGATTTCTTTTGGTAGTAGAAAATGCATTGTATTATTCAGTGGAAGGAGGTTTTCTCCCCTTTTTTGGGGGGTCCCCTCTTTTTCCAGTAAAACACATGACAACATTGTATAGTTTGAGGCATATAGTTTCATGCAAAATCAAAGTAGAAAAGGCCCTCAAGGGTCATCTACTCCAGCCCATCCCTGAAAAGAAACAAAATACAAATTTATGAAGCACCTACTATGTGCTGGGCACTGTGCCCAGCACTTGCAAATTCTATCTCATTTTATCCTCCCAACAACCCTAGGAGGTTGGTGCTATCTTTATCTTTATCCCCACTTTACACTTGAGGAAACTGAGATAGACAGAGGTAAAGTGACTTGCCCAACTAGAAAGTATCTGAAGTCAGATTCAAACTCAGGCAACTGTTCCTGACTCTAGGTCCAGTGCTGTATCTATTGCACCACTCAATTGCCTCCCAGCCCATCCTTAGAGCATCCTTGACAAGTTGTCATCCAGTCTTTACTTTAAGGTCTTTGCGAGGGGAAGCCCACAGCCTCTCAAGGCAGCCCTCTAGATAACTTTCTGATTTCCAGGGGTGTCACCTTACAGTGAGCCTAAATCTGCCTCTTTGCAACTTCCACTCATACATTCTAATTCTCTCTTCTCCACCTCGCCCTCTCCTTCTCCCAGAATAAATCTAATCCCTTGTCCATGTGACAGTTCTTCAATTATTATGTCCCTGCCTCCAAGTCTTCTCTGCCATAAGCCAAACACCATCAGGCTGAAGCCTGGCATGGTTTTCATCATCCTGGTTGCATTCTGAATCTACTCTAGCTTGTCAATTTCCTTCTGAAAATGTGATGGCCAACATCGAGTGCCATATTCCAAATGTGGTCTGACTGGGATAGAATGTGGCCACTTTGAATATAATTTATTTGTCCAGTATACCACACTAAAAATGCTTTCAGGTTTGCAAAGTGCTTTGCACACATCTCATTTGATCCTGACTATAATCCTTTGTTGTTGTTCAGTCATGTCTGACTCTTCATGACCCTATTTGGGGTTTTCTTGGCAAAGATACTAGAGTGGTTTGCCATTTCCTTCTCCAGCTCACTTAACAGATAAGTAAACTGAGGCAAGCTGGGCAAAGTGACTTGCCCAGGGTCACACAGCTAGTAAATGTCTGAGGTTGGATTTCAACCGATGAACATGACTCTTCCTGATTCCAACCACAGTGCTCTATCCAGTGCACCAGCTGGCTTCCCACAGTCCTTTGAGGTAGGTGCAGTTCTCTTCGTTTTCTAGATAAGGAAACTGAGGTTCACAAAAGTTAAGTAACTTGCCCAGGCCTTGGAATGGGGGAGTTCCTTTGGGTTTCAATGTTCACCCTAGCACAACTTTGATTCTTATAGTATCCCTCAGAGATGGTTATTTTGAAGGGAGCTGATGCCAGCATGGGTGAATGGAGTGTCAGGTTTGGGGTGACAGCACTTTAATCATCTTCTTACCTCCCCCTACACCCTAAGCCTTATTTCCCAGTAGGTAAGATTTGAGCTTCAGCTAAGAAGATCAGTACAAATAAAAGGGGTAAAAATAATGCTGAGGATGGCTGCTGCCCCTTTATAAGGGAACATGAAAGGGAAGAGGCTGGCTCACCAAGTGAGGGAATTCTTTTGAGGAAAGACAGCTTTTTGGAGTCACATTCAAAGCAGACAACCAGGTGGTGAGGAGCTCAGAGCTCGGTCTCTGTTTCTTCATTATCCACAATGCAGGCCAAATTGCTCTGTGGTTCTCTGGGTTTCTTTCTACTCTGGGCTTAAGCATTCATGGAGCATAGGGAGGGACTACTGGAGGAAGTGAATTTTATCAGCAGGTGCTGGTAGAAGAGAGGTGTGTGACAGGTGGAACACCAGGATTCCCACTATGCCTACCCCTTTGTTGAAAGTAATAGTTGTTGGTAGGAAAACCTTAAATGAAGAAGAGTATTGTGTACAGCAGCTCAGGCACAACCCAATCGGAGCAGAATGGTAAGAAAACAGATCTGGGACATTGGATGATATATGGCATGTAGGCATCTCAGAGGCAGCTAGGTGACATAGTGGATAGAGCACCAGATCCAGAGTCAAGAGGACCCGAGTTCAAATTCAGCCTGTGTGGTCCCGGGAAAATCACTTAACCCCTGTTTGCCTTGTTTTCCTCAACTATAAAATGGGGCTGATGATACCACCTATCTTTCAGGGTTGTTGTGAGGATCAAATGATAATAATTGTAAAGCTGTTAGCACAGTACCTGGTGCATAATATGTGCTATATAAATGTTAGCTATTATTATTACGGCAATGCATATACATGGGAACTGGGGAGACCAAAGATGGTGTAACACTGACTTTTAGAGAGAAGAAGCGAGAGAAGAGTGATGACAGTGTAATCAACCTGTAAGAATCACAGAATGTCAGGAATAAATAAGACCTCAGAGGCTGCCTATACCTATACCTGGAAAAGAATCTCCCTCTATACCATACTTGAAGGCTTCTGGTGAGAGGCAGGAGCCTGCTGCTTCCTGAGGAAACCCACACCACTTTGGACAGCTCTGTTTGTTAAGCCATTCTTCCATAGTTCACATCTCATCTCTCCTGTTTTCTGGAGCCAAACAGACCTAGGCTGATCACCTTTTCAAGTGTAAAGGTAGGGGATACTGGTCATTAAGGGTGTCTGGTGACTTACGTGGATGTTCAGTGAGTCTGCTTCTGGAAATGTGAAAGCCTTTTAACTGGATACTAATTAGGCATATTGGGCAGCTAGATGGCTCAGTGGATAGAGTATTGGGCTTGGAGTAAGGATTTTGAACTTTCCTGAGTTCAAATCCAGCCTCAGACACTCACTAGCTGTATGACCCTGGGCAAGTCACTTACCCCGATTTTCTTCAGTTCCTCATCTGTAAAATGAGCTGGAGAAAGAAATTGCAAAGCTCTCCAGTATCTTTCTGAGGTCATGAAGAGTTGGAAACAACTGAACAACAACAAGAAATCACTTAACCTGGGTTTGCCTTAATCCACTGGAGAAGGAAATGGCAAACCACTCAGTACCTTTGCCATGAAAACCCCATTGACAGCATTAGTATGCTATGGTCCATGGGGTCAGGAAGAGTTGGACATGACTGAACAACAACAATTAAGTATATTAAGTGCTTAATAAATGCTGATTGACTTGACTTGCTGAGCTGGAACCAAGTGCGCCTACAAAAGGAATCAATAGGCCATTTTCTTCTCTTCACTTCCCGAAACAATGACTGTCTAAGTTACTTAAACACCATAGAGAGTTGTCTTCCCTGGGTCTCCTAGGTGAGTCTGTGTTTGGGACAGGGTTACCTCCTGTGTGTGCTTTCTTTCCTTTAGTATAAGGTCTTGTGAGATCCCAGGAGCTCAGGGGTCTACCACTTGGGGTTCAGCAGTTGAACTCAGAAAGGCACCAGCCCTCTGGAGCAACTAGCTTGATGCAGCCTCAGACACCAGGTCCTGCAAGAAAGAGAGTAATTTGTCCATCAGCTGTGCCACAACTGGACGTGAACTTGGTGGTAGGACAAATGTTTGTAGCTACCACTTAAACTCTGAGCTAACTTTCCTCACAGGGACCAAGGTGATAGAGTGGAAATGGTCCCCCTAGTTCTGAGGCATAGCAGGTGAAAGCTGAAATGACTGAGGAAATTAAAGGTTTGATCTTCTGAGCATATTGATTTATTAAGCAGTGCATGGCAATTGCCCAACAAATTGGGACCAGTAACCTTCCTGAATTTTGTCACTGGACCCTGAAAACAGGGGGAGACAGATTTTTATACATTAAAAACAATCAAATAAGATCAATTAATTAAAAGGCTTCTGAACATAAACCAAAGTTAGCAGGGAATCAGAGAATGCCATAGGTGAGAAAGTAGTACAAAAAATCAGCCTTCATCTTAGTCTGGAAATGTTACTTTCTGGTATAGCCTGGCTGAGGGGAAGTGGTTTATGACCGCTGGCTAAAAGAGCTATAATCCTCCCTTCTCATGGAGAGGCTTATTAACCATTTCCCATGGCTCCCTCTCCTGGTGGAAAGTAGACAGAATAGCAGGTTTCCCAGAAGATTATGAGATGACTGAAGACTGTAACAGAGTCCTAGTGAGGAGCCAAAAAAATGATTAAAAGAGCTGTAGCATTCCCTTTCACTAGCTTACTAACCATACCTTCCCTGATCAATGATAGTGGTGACTAGAAGACCTGACTAAGAGTGTTGTGGTCCTCCTCTGTTAGGAGAGAAACTTACAAACTCCTGTATCCCATAAAAGATGGTAAAACTAGATATTAGTTGGTTCTACAGATAGTTGAAAAACTGGAATCAGCTGGACTAGAGAGTAACAACTAGCAGGGAATAGTGGAACTATGTAGGGAGTAGCAGAGATATAGCATCCGTTTGGGGACAGGTCTAATAAAGAGTAGAGTGATGATCCTGACCTCACATGTATATATCCCACGTGTAATCCCCAGGCATATCCACTCTTCCCAGTAATAGTACATGCATTTATGGCAGAGTGAGTTCAGGTTTGTTTGTTTGTTTAGGGGTGGGGGCTGTTATTGCTTTTATCACTACACAATTTCATTAAATGTCTTTATTTGAACTCAGTGTTTCTCTGACTGACCAGGAAAAATAAATATATGAATGGGGTCTTGTGAGCTAGAGTTTTGACACACAAAATACTTCTAACTTGACATGTCTTACTGGTGGCTCTGGTTTCTAATTACACATCAAAAGCACCAATTAACCTTGTTTTGTTACTAAATTTCAATACTTAAGTCTTTCCTTTTAAGCCTGCATCAGGATTCTTTGTTTCCCCATTCATTCCCATTCACCTTTTGCCTGATATGCTCATATAAGATTTTTTATTTAACTGACTGGAGTTTGAGGGAGAAAAGAAAGTTATGGTCCTATTTTGTGATGTGTCAGTCACAATCTGATGGGATGCTTTAGACATCTGTGATTAAGAAAGGTGGCCAACTATGCATCATCAGAAAAGATTCTGACTTATAAAAAAGCCAAACTTTGTAATGCAAAAAGAATATTTTTCAACTGGGAGAACAACTATCATGTAACTTCCCATTTGTAGCAGATTAAAATTCAAGCAGCCTAAGATTGGGTCATCAGACAAGAACACTGGAAAAATGTTCCATGACATAAATCAAATTTGGCCTCATTAAGAAACCTTGTGAGGTTAGTGAAACAGGAGGAAGAATGAATGTCTTTTGGGGTGGAAAGAAGTTGGAAAACATGATTGGGAAAAAATGTCATTTCAATTTCTTTTGAAATATATTCTAGAAATCTATCTATGGACCCGCATTGCAGCCTGCAGCTTATGTCATAATTACCTGTGCTGTCTTAATATTTCCCATGAAGGGAGGAAAGGTTTTAATAGACAGAGAAGGAAAAGGACTAAAGAGAAAAGAACACAAGACACCCTAAGAACCAACCACGTATTACAGTTGCAAGCGCCCTTTGGAGTGATCTCGTACAGTGTCCTATCCCAAAGTTGTCATAATCTAAGGACCCAGGTTATGGGTCTCCATCCAGGTATCCCCTCTCTAATACAACTCGTAGATGTTCATCCAACCTTTATTTACACTCAAAGTGTGAACTCCGTGTCTCACAAAGTATTTCTAGAGGCTGCTAGGTGGTGTAGTGGATAGAGTACTGGACATGGAGTCAGGATAGATCTGACTTCAAATCCTGCCTCAGATACTTGCTAGCTGTGTGACCCTAGGCAAGTCACTTTACTGCTCTTTGCCTCAGTTTCCTCATCTGTAAAAGAAGAATAACAATAGCCCCCAACTCCTAGGGTTATTGTGATGGTCAAATGAGATATCATTTGAAAAGCACTTTGCAAACCTTAAAGAACTATACAAATCCTAGCTATTATTACCATTAGCCAAGGGCTCTAACTGTTTTTTCTTAGATCAAACTGATCTAACTTATTTCCCTATGACTTCTGATCTCTTTCTCATGATCCCCTATGATTCTTCAGATGTCTGAAGACAATCACCAAGTCCCCTCTGGGTCTTTTCTTTACTAAGTCAAATATCTTCAGTTCTTCAGTCATTCCTCATGTGACATCATTTCAGTTGACTTCACACTCCTTCAGCGGCAGGGACTTTTGCTTTCATCATTGCAGACCTGGCCCCCAGCATGGTGTTTGGCACAGAGGGCACCTAAGAAACGTTTGCTGAATGGAATGCTTTCCCATCACCCTGGCACCTTGAGGGTGTACCAATGTGTCCATGGGGCATGCAGAAAAGAACACAACCCTGCAGATGCTCCCGACTAGTGAAGAAGACAGCAGGTTGGTTACCTTTTTCCTTTTGTATGCTATTTTTCTATTACTGCAGCTTAAGATTGTATTGGCATTTTCTCTCTCTTTTATTTTTCCTGCCCTGTTGAATGACTGACCCCTATATTAGGTGAACCTGTGCTGGCTCTTTGTGATGGCTGCTTCCCCAGGTGAGGGCAAACCTCCTACTTAAGCATTGAGTTTGGAATTTTGCTGGTTGTTTATAGCAAACTCATTTATCTTCATAATGTCTGGAATTTGCCTCTTTTTTTTTTTCACTCTATTTGAAAAGCAGGACAATATATGCGCCCTCCTCCCACCCCACCATCTTCTGGTTTCTCTCCTGATCCCTATCTCTGATCACATCTGAAATTTCCTTCAATGCCCTGGGAAATCATTTGTTTGGGCCTAGAGGCTTGAACTCATATAAGGCAGATAGGTGCTCTCTTTGAATCTCCCCATCTATCTCAGGTTTTCATTTCCTTTTAACTATTTTTTCCCTACTCTTTCTAGTTTGAAGATCCTTCTTAATAAAAGTTGAACTCTTGACTCTAACTTTTTTAAAAAGTTGTTGGGTGGTTTTTTTTTTTGATAAAACTTACCAGTAGGTGCCGTTAAATTGTCCATTGTCTTATCTGTGCAGCCTTGGCAAGTTTCCTTGTTTGCAAAATGAAGGGGTTGGGCTAGGTCAGGGGTGGGGAACCTGGGGCCTATGTGTCCTCGAGGCCATAAGTTTCCCACCCCTGGGCTAGATGGTCCATATTAGAGGTATATTCTAGCTCTAAAGCCTAGGCTCTTATGAATTTAAGGAAAGCCTCCAGTGCCCCAGAGCTCATTTCTGTAAAATGGGACTCATAATACCACCTATCTCCCAGAGTTATTGTAATGACCAAATAAGATATCTGTACACCATTTTGCAACCATTGGGGCAGCTAGGTGGTGCAGTGAATAGAGCAACAAGTCTGGAGTCAGGACGACCTAAGTTAAAATCTGGCCTTGAACACTTACTAGCTAAATGTGACCCTGGACAAGTCACCTAACCCTGTTTGCCTCAGTTTCCTCATCTATAAAAATGAGCTGAAGAAGGAAATGGCAAACCACTCCAGTATCTTTGCCAAGAAAACACCCAAATGGGGTCATTAAGTCAGGCACGACTGAAAAATGACTGAACTGCCCATCACCACAACAAGGTAACAGAGGCTCAGAGAGGGGCAATAATTTCCCCATAGTGACACAGCAGAGGCAGTGCTAGAAACCAGGCTTTCTAACTCTCTGTCTCAAATTCCTTTCTCTGAATGTCTTAAAACAGTAAAGGTTTTATAGTGGTGCCGATGATGATGCTCGAGGGCTCATAAACTGCCTCATAGTCATTTCAGAGTCTGCCAGGATAGACAATGTCTTAATCCCAAATTGCATGTGAAAGGCATTTTCTTTTCTCCTTATAGAACATCAAAAACAGGTTGGGGAACAAATAGGCTGAGGAACAAGACCAAGTTCCATGTCCATGAGCATAAATTATGACATTGGACCCTGCCTTGAAGGCACCATAGTGAGAAGCAGAAAGGCTGGAAAGCCAGCAACCGCTAAGCGCTTGTAGTTCACAGAGATATACAGCTGCCACTGGCTGAGGAAAAGACTCTAAATATTTTTAGGAGGTGATGAGAATATTGAAACTGCGTGGGCTGAATGCCTCAGCTACAGATTAATATAGGCCTATGTTATTCTAACATTACATCAATAAGGCCTAATGGATTTTCCTAAAAGTGAAGGAACGTAGATTGAGAAAGTCAACAAATGTTTCTTGAGCACTTACCATGAGCCAGCTAGGTAGAACAGTGGACAGAGCACCAGGTTTGGAGTTAGGAAAACAAGTTCAAATTGGGCCTCAGATACTATCTGTGTGACCCTGGGCAAGTCACTTAACCCTGTTTGCCTCAGTTTCCTCATCTGTCAAATGAGCTAGAGACAGAAATGGCAAACCACTCTAGTATCTTTGCCGAGAAAATCCCAAAGATTTTCACAGAGAGTCAGACACGAGTGAACAACATGTCCCAGGCACAGTGCTAAGGATCGAGAGTACAAACGAAAGAACCTCAGTATCAGGGACCAGGCCTATGCCATTCTCTTGTGTAGGGTTGACTTCAGTCTTGTGCCAATTGGTTTGGGATGCAAGGGCAAACTGAAGCAGTGCTGGAAACATGCAAAAATTGCAGAGGTGATTTGTACTACTCCCTCTATTTTTGTTGTTGTTCTTTAGTCATTTCAAACTCTTTGTGACCCCATTTGGAGTTTTCTTGGCAAAGATGCTGGAGTGGTTTGCCATTTCCTTGTCCAGCTCATTTGACAGTTGAAGAAACTGAAAAAAAAACAACAACACCAGAATTTAAGTGACTTGCCCAGGGTCACCTAGCTCCTAAGTAGGCAGATTTGAACTCAACTCTTCCTGACTCCAGGCCTAGCATTCTATCTACTATACCACTACCTGCACTCCTTCTATTATAGGTGCTTTTGTAAGTGGTGGGGAGGAAAGGGAGGAGAGATTTACACTTTATGGGGTGGTGGAATCAGCTATTCTGAGCTGTCACCTGGAAATCCTGTGCCCTCAGAACTCCAACCAGTGGCTGAACCTCTGGAAACTTTGTTGTGAACTGAGGATGGATAGGCAGTTTCTAGTAGAAGGTTGAATGTTACTCAGGTCTTTTATAACTACCATCAGGAAACAAAATAGGTACAACAGGCAAAGAACAAATCCTTGGCCCTCTAGGTCCTTTTGACTGAGTCCAAATTTTACAAAACAAATCCTTTTATTAAGGGGATTTGTTCTGTGAAGTTTGAATTCAGTTAAAGGGCTGCACTTGAGGACCTAGAGGGACACATGTGGCCTCAAGGCTGCAGGTTCCCCACCCATGAGCTAGATAAATGGTGGTAAATGAAAAAATGATCAATTACTATATTTTAAGAAACTATAAGTATGAAAAAGGATGAGAAGACATATGAATTACTGGGGAAGGGGCACCCACCACTCACCATCCCTTGTCCTATCCCTACTCATGTGTTACCAGACATCAGCCCTGGATAATTCTCCCCATCTGCCTCCTCTTCTTTTTCTCACTGGCTGCTGATGGGAGCTGGGAAAAGCCACACAACCATACTGACTAGGTATATTACAAATTCAGTAATCCGACTTCATTTGGATCTCACGGTAGTCCTGATTCTCTATCTCAATCTTCACAGAAGCTATTTCAAACCACCTCTTCCCTCGTCAAGTCTCCCAGGCCTTCCCTTTCATCCTCTCTCAAATGAGGACCTTGCCTCTTATTTTGTTGAGAAAATTGGGGCAATTTGAGGGGAGCTTTCTACTCTTACATTCTCTTTATCTCAAAGCCCCTCGACATCATCTCCCACTCTCCTCTTTCCCCCTGGTTTCTGACAATAAGGTAGCCCTGCTCCTTCCCAAGGCCATCTCTTCTACTTAAATCTTAGATGACCTCTTCTCCCCCACACTGGGTTCCTTCTCACTCTCCTTCATCCCCAATATGCAATCAGTTGACAAATTTTACTGTTTCCACCTCCACAAAAATCTCTTACATCCTGCTGTCCTCACACAACTAGCAACTGAGTTGAAGTCTCATCACTTCTAGCCTAGATGATTGCAATAGTCTTCTCCTTGGTCTCCCTGCTTCAAATGTCTACCCACTCCAGACCACCCTCCCCACTGCTGCCAAAGTGTTTTTCCCTCAGCACAGATCTGGTTGTGTTACTCCTTTACTCAATCAACTTTCTTGGCTCCTTATTACCTGCAGAATAAAATATAAGCTCTTCTATTCGGCTTTTAGATCTCTTCACAGATTCCAATCTGTTTTCCAGCCTTATTGGACATTGCTCACCACCTCATACTCAGTGATTTCACTAAACTGTCCTCCTTTTGGTCCCTCTCGCTCATGACACTACATGTCTCATCTTTGTGCACCTTGCATTGGCCATCCCCCATACCTGGAGTTCAGTCCTTCACCTCCACCTCATATGATTCCTCTCTTTTTTAAGGCACAGCTTCAGTACAACTTTCAACATGAAACCAGTCTTGATCTAGCCACTGTCAGCCCACTACCTTCCAAATTACATTGTGCTTATTTATATTAATTCTCTTTATATTTATACCATATATAATTGCATATGCACTTGTCTCTCCTATTAGAATGTAAGAGCACAGGTCCTGGAGTTTGGAAGGCCTGAGTTTAAATCTGTCCTCAGAAGATTACTGGCTGTATGACCCTGGGCGGGTAAGTCACTTAAGTTCTGTCTGACTCAGTTTCCTCAACTGTAAAATGGAGATAATAATAGCACCTACCTCCTGGGGTTGTTGTGAGGATCAAATGAGATAATATTTGTAAAGTACTGAACACAATGCTGGGCACATAGTAGCATTTAACAAATGCTCGTTTCCTTCCTTTTTTTCTTTTAAGCAGAAATATTCTCAGTCTTTGTACTTATATCCCCAGAGCCAACATAGTGCCTGGCACATAATAGGTCCTTAAGAAATACCTGTTGATTGCTTGATGCAAAATAAAGTAAGAATCAGGAAAACAATACTTATGATTATAACAATGTAAATGAAAAAAAAAAACACTAAGTCAAACTTGAATGCTGTGTAATAATAATGACTAAACTTGGCCCCAAAGAAGAGAATCCCTTCTCAACACCATGTAATTATAGTGATCAAACTTAGCCCCAAAAGGAGAAGGAAGTACACCTTTCTCCCTCCTTTTCAGACAAGGGGGACTATGGATGGGGAACGTTGCATATAATACAAAACTTGGTTAGTTTTGCCGAACTACTTTTTTCCTTTTCTTTCTTTTTTGTTATAAGAGA